TCACTACTCCAGTGGTCAACGTGGTCCTCATTTTATTTGCTGCATCCACAATCCTTTCTCGTAAGTCTTCCACAGACGAAACTGGATTCGGCTCGCTGTACACAAGACTTTTCATGTGTGGGGGACATGAAAATCCATGGGGGTTAGGTCCGGACTTCTTGCTGGCCATGGCAACGGCCCACCTCGTCCTATCCATTTGTTTGGATAATTTGTGTCCAGCCAGTCCCTGACACTTCTCCTGAAATGGGCAGGGCAGCCATCGTGTTGGAACCACATGTCCCTGATCAGGTTGAGTGGCAGATCATCCAGCAAATCACTCAAGTCTGCTCTCAGGAAATTTTCGTAGCTTTCCCCATTTAGATTATCCGGGAGAAAGTAAGGTCCAATCAAATGATTGGAGATATGCCCATCCACACATTCACGCTGAATCTTCGTTGGGACCCCTTCACTCTTTTCTTATTGGGATTCCTTAGTTCTTTTGGGACCCAGTAATGGGCGTTGTGATAGTTAGTTATGCCATCTTTATCAAATTTGGACTCATCCGTCCACAAGATATTTCTTAGAAAATCTGGGTCTTCTACGTCAGCATTTAGCATAAATCTGCAAAAGTCCAATCTTCTCGCGGGGTTTCCTTCTTCAATAACGTGTACCGGCGTGTAATGGTACGGGTATAGGCCAGCAGTATGCACTGTAAACCACACTCTCCATTGCGAAAGTCCCAGATCACGGGCAACAATATTAGTGGAAGTAGTCGGATCCGCTCGAAAGCGTTGCACTATCTCATTGTCCTGTTCTTCGTCGTCAATTCGTGGTCTTCCCATGTCTGTATTTCGTCTCAAAACAGAGCCAGTTTCTCGAAGTCTTCGATAAACTCTGTCATAAACGGCCACATCCGGCACTCGACGACCAGGGAAGCGAGTTATGTATTCGTTGCGAGCTTGCGCAGACACACAATCGCAGTATCCGTAACAAATAAGCATATCAGCATATTCCTCAGGTGTGTAGGACGTCATCTTCAACACTTCCGTATCACAGGTACAAATCAGAGTCCGATTAACAAGCACAGTAGTCACAAATCAGAAGAAATAGTCCAGAATCACAGCCAAGTCGAGAAAAAGAGCAAAACGATATCACATCTACTATGTACGAAGCACAAAAGCAGACTGACAACTAGTGACAACCAAACAATGCCCCCTGTTGTATTCCCAGCCCTAACCGGTCTCTACACATTTTTTCTTTCATTCGCACCTACATAAATCGTCACTTGTCTCGCTCGCTTGCTCGCTTTCCTTCAAGTTAAGACGCACCTTAACTTGAAGGACAATAGGCGCGGGAGCGTTAGAACTGTTACCTGGAGCGTCCCAACTACTTTTTTTCCACGAAATGTAATACAAACCCAAGATTGTTATACCTCGTTAGATAGCTGATGAAACGTAGATATTTTAAAAAACATCTGCCGAACAATAACCATAATATTGTTTTTAGATATCCGTTAGAGAAAAATAATTTTCTAATATTTTTTTTATTTCTTTACTTTCACTTGTCTACTACGATCTATTCAATTAACTTATGAACTATTTTAATGACTGACGTCCTAAAGCATCTTATTACACATGTAAAAATTCAAAAATAATAATAATAAGATACACAAAATAAACAAAAATAAATGTAGTAGCCTAAAAATCAGCAAATTTCAATAAAAAAATTAAAAGACGATTATCTCGAAAAGGGTTAAGTTTAGGGTAGGGTGTTTCATAGTGAAATATGTCAGAAATGATGGGTACTCCACGCCCTTAACGGATCTAGCACGACTTTTCTTGTAACCCTGTATATACTATATTACAATACATAGGAGCACCCAGACCCGTAATAATTAAATATCTGTAGATAACGCAAATAACTAATTTTTATAAAAATATTTTTTCGTGTAACAATCTAATTCTTTATACCAAATGCTTATAAAGATTAGCGCTCACTTGAAACATTAGTACTTAATACGCGCGCTTAATACTTTGGGTAATTTTATATAGGAAAAAATAACACCTATCGGTCATTCGGATTAGCTAGCCATACACGCACAGATCTGCCTGCCGGATCTGTCCGACAGGCAGATCCGTGATTCGCCACACACGAGTACGGGCAGCAGTTCAGATCGTAATGCCAGCAAATACGGTCGTCTGTAAAAACTAGTCTTTTTAAACTAGTGTAGAAGCAATGGGAAAGCTTCTTTCCTTCTTCAATCGTATCCTACTCTAATTATCTGATGCGCCATAGGTGGTATTTTTAAATTTTCCACCCACTTGCTATTGTGGCGCCATGTTAATTTGCTGCCTTTCAGTGGACACTTTTTAATATATGAGATGGTTCTCCTTACCTCTACCCTCCAAACTTCGAGTGTTAGAGCACGACTGACGTCAAATCTGGCGGATACATCCGTCGCTACTCATACACGCACAGTTGGGAGCTCGGATCTACCCGCCCCGTGCCCGATCCGCTCGATTTGACCACGGGCAGCGGGCAGGCACCGGGCGTGCAAATCCGTGTCCGTTCTCACCATACACGCACGGATCTGTCCGCCAGGCACGTCTGTCGGACAGATCCGGCGGGCAGATCTGTGCGTGTATGGCTAGCTATTCTTCTGCTATCCGTACCCGAAGTCAGTGACGTCTCGTTTGACAGTCGTCTGGTTCGCTTGGTCGAGTAGTAATTACTTTGGTGCAAGAAAGGCCAGTCCTATGGGATAAGAGCTTAGAATAATATAAATACAAGAATTGGACGCTCAATGCATGAGAACAATTTTGTGGTATTTTAAATAAAGATTTTGAAATGATTTTGACGAGACAAAAAAAGGATATGGTAAGTATGATATAAGTTTATTTTTAAACGTTAGCGCTGATTGACTCTGGTTACCTATAACAAAGATATTATAATATACTTAACTAGAAACTATAACTACCTACAATAGTTTATTTCGTTAAAATTTGACAATTGCCTACTTAATGCTCCACTGTTTTACTCATAAAATGTTATTGAAAAACATCTCTAATATTAGTGGCTTGTCTTCCGCTGCGTATTGTTTGAGCTATCTGTATATTCTCAAGATTATGTATAAAATCTTTTTCTCTGATGTTATGACCGTCTCCAACGTCCACAAAAACAAATCAGTAATCCACATCAACTACAGCCATTATCACAAATGAAAAAAAAACTTTATAATTGTAGTAAGTTGAAGCACTGTTATCTGGTTTAATTATTCTTATGTGTTTCCCGTCTATTGCTCCGACGCAGTGAGGAAAGTTTACATATTTGTAAAAAAAATTGGCTGATTTCTTCTAAAACTTCTGTAGTGACTACCGGAAAACATTCAAGCAATAACACCTCCCATAATTTATCACATATTATTTTTATAATTGTCGATATAGTTGTGTGCCCAATTCTGAATGTGTAGTGTAAAATCTTTCATTGAAGTTCCACCTGCTAGGTATCTGAAATAAAAAATAATAATAATTATATGGCTTTCAGGGTTTTCATGTTTATTGTAATTAAGAAATGGAAAAATATGAAAGATTGCTGGATGAAAAATAATAACAGAGATAGCCTATAGCAGAGATAACCAAAAAGCACATTTATAATGATGAGATACAGTTTTTGAAAAAAGATGCCTATTGAAAATACCCCCTCAACCTTAACAAACAGTGCTACAGCTCAACAAACTACTAATACTGCTGTTGCATCAACTTCAAATGATTTTCCTACACTTACACCTGCCTCTTCTCAACCAGCTGCTAAAAAGAAAAAAAGAACGACACCGACAAAGCATTAATAGACTTATTGCCTCAACGCGAAGATAGACATTTTTCGTGGAATTTTACCTTCATTGCAAAAAAGAAGCAAACACAAGAAAATTTCAAATAGCAATTCTACAAATTATTGATAATCTTGATAATAATCTTCCAGATTTTTCATCTTATCTATATACAACATATAATTACAATCAAGAAAATAACAGTAATAAGTATTGCGGCTACCGTACCTCTTATCAGTCTACTGAAAACAATACCCAACGTCTTGCAGCAGTTTCTTCAGTTAATAGCAATTTGTCCAATTTATCAGATGATGTGTATTTTGATTAAAAAAAATATAATAATTAAGATATTACCACTAGTTGTATTAAAATAAGCATACATACCTCAATGTTATTGCCAACATTTCCTCGGGTGATATACGATCTCGCATATTAGTATGTTGTTTATAAAGAGCAGTTTTCATTGTTTTAAAAAATTCTATATAAGAATTTTTGTTCATCCTTCTTTAATTGACTAATAAGAATAACAAATAATCCATAACGATCTCTATCCTGAATCAGTGGATGCACCCAGAACCTGACCCTTTCGGCCTTCTTTTTTTGATTCTTTAACTTCAACTGATCGTTTAACCGCCCGTCTTGCGATCATCACCCGCCAAGTTTGCGGGCGATGATCTCAACCGCGACGGCTGCGTGGCCGCGCAAATCCACCACCACGGCTGGCACGGGACAAAATCGCTCCGTCAGTTCTTAGCCTAACCGTGACCGACTCAACCTATTTATATTAAATACTAGCTGGTGCCCGCAACTTCGTTCGCGTTGAATTTGAAAACCGCTGCCTTAGTGGTATAGTACAATACGCGACTGCAGTCCATAAGATCTCAAGTTCGATACCCGGACCGGGTAAAATTTTGTAAGGTTTTTCCGAGATGAAAAATAGCCTAAGTTACTCCTTATATATACAGCTACAGCCTGGTAGTAAAATATTATCAAAATCGGTCAAGCCGTTTTAAAAAAAATACCCGGCACAAACAGACAGACACAAAATATTTAAACTGGTTTTTAGGCATAGGTATTGTGCAAATAACCATGTGAGCATGAAAAAACCCATTATTTTGAAATTACAAACAGACACTTCAATTTTTTTTATTTGTATAGATAGATATCACTCACGTTAAAATTTTGTTTCTCGCAGCTAGTATCCACTCCGCAGCAACGCCATTGGGTTCAATGCTGTCGGGCCCCATCATGGAGGCTATAGGGAGGAAACGCACACTACAGTCATGTACTCTGCCACTCATCGTTGGATGGATCATCATCGGCACGTCCACGCATCACGCACTGCTGCTACTTGGCAGAATAGTTTGCGGATTCGCCGTAGGCATTATGGCTGCTCCTTCGCAGGTATTTCCACAAACGTAAATACATATTCTCAGGCTTTTCCTAATGTTATATGAGTGTGTTTCGAAATCGAGTTGCGTTTTCGTTCTTTCTCAATACGCCAGAAATACAAAGTAGTTTTGGTACTTAAAATTGCGTCATCATTTTGTAAACGTTCATACAGTAAACATTCGATTGCAAACAAAGAAAGTGTTGAAAAATTGTTTCTTTTTTTTAGGTATACTTGGGTGAAATTTCGGAACCAAGGTTGAGAGGATTGTTAATAGGAACACCTTTCGTCGCGTATTCACTCGGCGTGCTGTACGTATACGCATTAGGAGGGCAGTTACCTTGGCGAACTGTGGCTCTCCTTTCCATGGTGCTCCCGGCGCTAGCCTTCGTTGCTTTATGTTTGTCACCGGAGAGTCCTACGTGGTTGGCGCGCCGAGGCCGCTTTCATGAAGCCATGGCGGCGATGGCACGCTTGCGCGGCGACCCAGATACTGTGAGTATCAGCAATATATAACTAGAAACCAAAAGCGAGAACTTTTACATTATACAGCTAAAGCGATAAACGAGTATACTGTAATCTGAAACTGAAAACCGGAACTATTAAATATAAATGTCTCAGTATCTGACGACACCAGTGCTGTGTACTTACTTCACCAATGCGCGCAAGATAATCTTATCCGACGGCTCAATTTCAGATAGTATTGGATATTATGTATCCCTCCTTGGAAGGGCAGTCTACCAGATCCTATATTTGCTATCTGTTACTAAAATGGTGTATCATAATTTGACGAACATCGAAAGTCATTACCATTTAACTTCTAAATCACCCATTAATAACAATATGTACCACATGTTTTGTGTTATTACGTTATTAGGTACTTACTGCATACTGAAAGTTTCTAGATTCTGATAAATAAGACTAGATATAAGACTTACGATACATTTATTGTTTTTCAAAGTATATTCCCTCGCAATTAATGCATTTTTGCTTTCGTTGAAACCACTGTATTATTAAAGGAAAGGCACACACACACACGTGTATTACGTGCGGTATCCATCGAGTGCAAGCTTCCAAACCTTCAAATGCACATGTAAAATGTTTTGCACTTTTCTCATTCCAATGCCTATCAAAGCACGAATTTGCTGGCAAGTAATTTAAGTTTTAATAAGTTGTGGTTCGGTGTCAATATTAGAGTGTGTAACTGCAGTCGCGGCCGACCTTCACCTACCTCGTCATCGAGATGATCACGTTCTATCTAAATTCTCCAAACCTCGAATACACAGAGCTACGGCATGCTGCTTGATCACCAAATGCTAATTAAGTCTCTGGCAACTTTCTTGTTGACTTAAGTAACATCGAAAATCATAAAAAAAAACATTGAACGAAAATATTCACGAGTTAAATTCATTTTACAGTCTCGCTAATTAAAAAGTAACATGTTCCCAAAAAGTTCCATTTTCGAATTCCATAATTGTTTTTTCATTATTTTATTGTAGATGGCCAGATCGAGAGACTTTCAGTATGGCCAATATATATATAGGTATTAATATTTAGACTGAAAATTAAATGCAAAGTACGTACCCAGCATCCGTTTCTAACATTGATCAAATAAATAAACTCATCGTAACTTTAGATACTAATGTCGCTGATTGCCAGAAGACATTACGTCATCATGAGTTCATTTCTCTGAACACCGATGTATCAAAAACATCACATACATCTTTACAGTTAAAGTCAAGTGACACGAAAATTAATCTTATGCAGGATCCTGTGTATTGGGAAATACTAACTATAGTGTATAATCGTACCAAGTTTTCAAAAGGTCATATTGGCACTCACTTAACAATAGCGATGACTTAACGCTGGAGTTGTTTTGCTATCAAATCGCTAAGGCAACCACTAATGCTCGATTTATTCGTCTTACATACATTTCAGTAGGTAGAGGTACCAAAATCTATTTTTGTCCTTGTGCAGTGTTGTCACGCGATGGTGGAATATTAGAAACCAGTAGTTACGAGGTGAAACGCTAAAGTTAAACACCATTGTTTTTTTGGGTTATTCGCTTTAAGTAGAAAAAACATTAGATTATTATCTCTCAAAATTGTTTTTAAATTATAAGAATTATTTTTCATTTGAATGACTGACTCTTAACGTTGTTTATGTTAGTTTGGTAGTTTTATTTTCGTTACAAAAGCTGTTTTCGTGTTTCAGTAGTACTTACATTGTTTTTTTTTTGGATGGCTGCTTAGGTACTTTTGTTCATAATGTAGAACAGCGTTAGTATACTACTATCTTATTTTATTTAGTTAGAGAAATAGACCGGGCGTCAGAGGTAAGTGAGTATGCAAAACGTGAGGACCGAATTCCACTAATGGATTTGTGTTAACAAAAGGTTAAAGATTAATAATGGGGATCTTGCCAGTCAATTTTTTGATCAATTTATTTACCCCTTCGACTCTTTTTGGTAAAAGGAATGTACTTAGTACATGATATAAAATCATTTTAATGATTATTATAGTAAGACTTTAATAAGTAAGTAACATATCCGGTAAATTGTTGATACAATGAGTGTAGGTACAGCTTTCATTACTAGCCAGTGAATTTTTTGTTAGTAGCTATTCAATGTTCACAACGACAAGTATACATGCATGTAGTAAGTACCTATTCAATGTTCACAACGACAAGTTTACATGCGAATTCATTTCTGTAAAATGAACTCTTAATGAGCTCAACGAGGAAGGAGGCACAAAATGACAATTGATACATCAGTTTCTCGAACGTGTTGTTTAACCCACACTTTCAAACAATATACGTACGAGACTCACATACTGAATGGCCATATTGGTTCTGTATTTGTGTGTGTACATACAAAAAGCTGGTACTTATCTTGGAGTGAAGCAATGGCCATTTTAAATTATCATGACCTAAGATGTTTTGTAATTAACAAAATATTCAATGCGTTATAATGGACCAAAGTCCGCAGTGTCGTAAGTTTAAAATAACAAATTAGTATAAGGGTACAGTACAAGCAATCATCATCATCATCAACAGCCTTTAATAGTCCACTGCTGGACATAGACCTCTTCTTTCACTGCTGGACATAGACCTCTCCTTGTACAAGCAATATGTAACGAAAATGATTCATAAATCAACTCACTATTAGATATAACCTTTATTTATGCTACTCCAAAGAATCAAACATTGCGCATTGGTGAGATTTAACAGTTGACGCTTTTATTCGTTTAATAGATTAGTAGGAAAGTATAATATATTTAAAATAGTTTATTGTTTAGGTACTAGTCCCGACTGCGACTTTGCCTACGACAAATAACGTACACGACTTGTTTCAAAACCAAAAGTGTTTCACAAATAAGATATGGTACTAAACTATAAAGAACTTAATAATAACATAAATTTTGTACGACTTTTTTATACTAGCTTAGTATACCTACCTACGTAAAAATAATTTTTAAGTTACATTCCTTTGTTAATCGTATAAATAACAAGTCAGGGCAGGGTATAGTATTCCATTGTTTCATGTCGCAACCACGTCGTTCCGAGATCTAAACCCTGCAACTTATTTATTGATGTGTGTATATTGAGAACGGTACCCACTTTAAAGAAAGTAGTAAAACGAGAAATCGCCAGTCATTTTCGACATAAGAATTGAGTCGCTTGCGTTAATTTCAAACTCGGATTAATCCAATTCTGAGAATTTCAAGATTTTGGTATCAAAACAAAGGGTTAAAAAACAAGCTTTGAAACAATTTCCTCAGTTGTGTATAAAGCCGGCAAGGTTTTTGAGAATAAAGATGTAAAGTCAACATATTTTATCAAAATCAGATAGATCCATGAGACATGTTTTTTCAATTGTTGTTAAGTCTATCCGAGCCAATCAGCGAATTGCTTTCGTTCAACATGGCCGTCAGTTGACTTAAACTCTGCGACAATAGTACAAGAGTCTGCCGCTTTTTATTGCTTATTTTTAATAACTAGCGAGTTCTAATGGATAATTCCATAAAGATTGTACATTCAAACAAACCCCGCAAACGGCCTGGGCCTTAATTCTGCTATTTTATGTTTACGCAAAGCCACTGTCATATCACTGACACGATATTGAGATGCCATCGAGTGGCCATTGGCATCGGTATGAATATCAGTAGTTGAAAATATATTACGTTTTTTGAGGAAATGATTTATAATATTTATTTTCTTATTTTAATTTTTTTTTTTAATAATGTTTATATTTTTTTTTAATTATTTATTTTAATTTATTTAATTCTTTTAATAATTTATTATAATAAAAATCAATAAATCATTTCCTCAAAAAACGTAATATATTTTCAAGTACCGATATTTATACCGATGCCAATGGCCACTCGATGGCATCTCAATAGCGTGTCAGTGGTATGACAGTGGCTTGGCGTGAACATAAAATAGCAGCATTGAGGCCCAGGGCCTCAAGACGGCCGTAAGAAAGAGGAAAGAGCGAAAGTTCGATAAGTTTGTAATACCTATCATGCGTCGTTTGGAAGTCCTGAGTTGGCAATAGTGTTGTTCTAACCATTATCGATGTATCGATTATCTATACTTTGTTGTTCTACTGTTGCAAAATAATTTGGATCTAAAAAGCATCTATACATTAAATATTTTTAAATATTACATGAATTATCCGAACATATTTGTGTAGGTATACAGGAATAAAATATAAGTTTTTAAATATAAGTGCTTGTGGAGTTGGTCGTTTGGATACGTTTTGCAATTTTTTTATGTGCATACTACATAAACTAAATACATAAATTAAAATATAATTGTGTGAAATGTCCAATACTTAATTGTTTAGAAATTTTAATCTAGAGAGATGAAGAAGATGATTCAGAAGAAATATAAAATTTTGTTTAAAATATTTAAAGATTTTCATTTTGCTAAAAAATACTGTTTTTGTAAAATATAACTAAATTGATTCATTTAGTCCGTTTTATTTTTTGATATATTAAGTTATCTATCACAAATTTTACAGTCGATAGTATTCCGTGATTTTGCCGCTACCACATTCCTAGTTATATTTATATTTTTCAATAGATCCAGACTGATCCTGGCTAGATCCAGATCTGTTAAATCAAAGCTCTATAAATCCACACTGAGTTTTTTCAAAGATGGATAAATCGCATTCAATTATATCTAATGAAGGTAAATCCAATCTAAACATTAATTTTTCTAAACAATGGATGGCTTTCATAATGAATTTGCTCAACAGAATGACGACCGGATGGCGTAGTGGTTTGTGTAACGGAGTGCTATTCCAAAGGTCGCGGGTTCGATTCCCGCTCAAGTCAAACATTTGTGTGCATGCATACATTTAATGTTTGATTTGGTCTGGGTGTTTCTATGTATAATAAGTATGTATTTACAAAAAAAAATATGTATTTATATCAGTTGTCTACTAGCCATAGTACAAGCTCTGCTTAGTTTGGGACTAGATGGAGTTGTAAATGTTTTAAAATATAAAAAAAAACGTTGTATTCAACACTGTTGACATAATAACAACATCATCGAATTAAGATTATTATCACTTCTTCTTAGATATCTCCTAAGAAGGTAAAGTGAATTTATCCGAGTTTGAAGTTAAGCGACACAATTAAGCTTCTTTTGATTTTTCTGAGTGTTTAATGGTGTCCATTACAAATGCAAGGAAGACTTTAACTACCATATTTTATATTATTATAAATATCTGTCGTAGTCTTGTCGATTGACAATATTATTTTCAGGTTACAACTGTACCGTACATCACTCTTTTCAATAAACAATATTTTTCAATTTCAATTTCATTTTTTTTATTAACAACAACTTTTCCACTATGTGTTAGGCACTGTTTTGTGATCCCATCTATAAGAAGGTATTTAGTGTTAAAACTAGGTTTTTTTAATGAGGGGAAAATCTGTTTTAACTATATTTGACTGTATGTATATCATAGATATTTTAATATGTAGTTAAACAGAGCTAACCAACGCCGTATCTAAATAAGTAACTGCAGGACCGAAGCCAATTAAAATTAATAATGTCCAATAATACCCATGCCTTTATTTATTTCAAGGCGCAACGTGAGCTGCATGAACTCATATCAGCGAGGGAGAAAGAGAAAGCTCGCGGTGAAGAGAAGATCAAGTTCCTAGCGACAGTGATCCGCGCACCAGTACTAAAGCCATTACTACTCATCAACGCCTTCAATCTACTGCAAATATTGTCTGGAAGCTACGTTGTTATATTCTACGCTGTCGACATAGTAAACGATGCTGGTGGCTCGCTTAAACCGACTGTAAGTTGATGGGTAACTTATTCGAGTATGACGCAGGCATGGTCTATACAACTGATATGCAGGGATGTAAGATTGTGGTGAGCCAAAGCTGATACATATGCCGCTAAAAGGCTCTAAATGCTGGTATTTCATTAAATATAATTAAATATATTTATAAGTTAAAATAATAATAAAAAAAATCGTTTATTTTGAATGTTCTTTTAAAAACAATTTTTAATTCTAAAACCATGTACGCGTTTACATGACTTTCAAGTAATAATGTAGAGTGCTATTGTACTGGGCCTGGGAAATACAAGGAAAAGTATTATTCTAACATGTATCTTATAGTGATATGTTGATTGAAGTGCTTTTTTATTTTCAGATGGCCGCAAACGCAACAGCTTTGGTGCGACTGGCTATGACAGTGCTCGCGTGCGTGCTGTTGCTGAGAGTGACTCGTCGCGCTTTAGTACTCATATCGGGTGCAGGGACAGCTATATGCACCCTCTCACTTGCCTTCGTCCTCTTTCGAGGCCAAGGATCTGGCATCACACCCCCTGCACTGATTCTGGGCTATGTAGCTTTTAACACCTTAGGATTCTTCCTTTTACCCGGACTAATGATTGGAGAACTTCTACCAACAAAAGTGCGCGGTCTCTGCGGAGGTTACATATTCTGCCTTTTTAATTCTGTTCTCTTTGGCTTTACGAAACTTTACCCACTTATGAAAAATAGTATAGGTATAGCGGGGGTTTTCGGCCTTTTTGGTGTTTCTTCTTCTCTAGCGACGATTGTCCTATTCCTGTTGCTACCAGAGACGAAAGGCAAATCTCTCCTCCAAATAGAACAGTATTATCAAAGATCTAATATCCTTTGGATATCTCGTAAAAAGCCTCAAGCAGTTACCCAAAGGGTTTGAAATGAATTATTTAAATTATTTATTATCGTACTTAAGTTTTCAATAACAAGCTGCAAGGCACAAGAAAATAAAAGTTTACAAATATGTTAGGTTGCTATTTGATATATACCTAATCCAAATTAATTGTATTACGTATAATGCAACTGTAATTACTTCATAGGTACATAAAAATAAATGTTTCTTAGTTTGTATTTTATGCGCCGCCGCATCGTTCGTCCTATTTATTATAAAATTTTGCATACATGTTGGCGACGAATCCGAAGATTAAGTAATTAAAAAGTTTGTTATCCATAGACAAATAATCCTCCTCCTTACCTACAAAACGTAAAGTAAATTTTTAAATAATGATAGAACGTTTTATATTTTAATGTATATCCTAAGTAGCCACTCATTCAATATAAATTCAGTTATTAGTTAACAATTTCCTATACAACTCAGGTATGTGTATGACAACAAATAATTGATTACCACAAAAAAAAACATGTAGATTAAACAATACATGTATCTATGTAATTATTGTGATATAACCTACCAATGCGCAAAAAGAAATATGAATATGAATCTGTGATAAAAAAGATAATTTCAGGCAGTATCCTACAATCCATGACGAAAACCGCTCCTACAATTACATGGCTGTTTCTCTTTTCCGTCTGTTTTGCTTATGAACAAGAAAAGGATGAACTAAGCGATCCGTAATCCTTTATTGATACAGGTCATACATTTTTCTATATATTTATCATTTTTGAGCATGCCATGCATATGGACCAAACGGTTTTTAGCGTGTGAAAAGCCTTTATAGTAGTTGTTTAGTGATACGGTATTAATGTTTGACACGTAATAAAGAAATTTATATATGTTTATTCAAAATATCGTAACAGATTTGCTTAAAAAACGGGCCGCAAGATTTTGAGCATTTAAGAAAAGGGAGAGAAAGTTAACCCTTGGTACAACTCTTAGTACGGGAGAAAATGTTTAATTGCTATATTTTTTTCCTAAAATATATTAAAATTGTAGTAGTCTTGCCCCATCTTAGTTACTTTAATATTCACAGACATGACATCGGCGCTAAGTTTAGCGTGGAAGACTATTTTCGGGCGTGGGTACTTAAAACCTTCATCATCATCATAGCCACTTTTCTAAACATATCTATCAGCGATTAAACTATTCATACTATAACGAAATAATATACCTATTTAAATTTTACGTAAATCAGTACTCAATAGGTACTATTTTTTATAACATTCTCAATTCAAAACGAAATCTTGCGCCTCATTTCTGAAGCAAATCCGTACAAATATACACGAACAATGCATTTATATTTATAAATTAGAAGTATTATATTTTATTATATACACAATATAATATATATATTGTTAATGATGTTATGAGTATACACTGTAGTTAACGTAACCTAAACGCTAACGACAATTTATTTTATTACCATTTTTCCCGGGTTTTGCTAGTTCAGTATTGTATCCGTTTTAAAACATTTAAAAGGAATTATTGTAAATTTAGTAGGGAAATGGTAAAAAAGACAAAATTGTGTTTAAGCACCATGACGACTACTAGATCTAAGTATTTAAGGTTGACATGACATGATTGACATGTATACTTACATCGTAATCGTGAATAATAGTGCCTATAATGTGCTTATATATATATATATTTTATTTTTTTATCGATAATAAAATAGTACTAGTATGTATTAGATATTATACAAGTAGTTTAATTCTTTACCGGTTATTATGTAACATAACATTTCCTTTTGAAATACTTTTTGTACATAGCTAACCGAATTCATCATGGATGCGGTATCTGATACCGATTGTTGTAATATCGATTTTTATTTATCAGTAAAATCAGTAATAACCTTTTGTTGTTATATTATTATGTAATAAGACGTCGATTTTCAACGCTTGTTATGATTATAACTAGTAACGAAATACGGTAATTTTACACGTTTATAAAAAATATAATAAAATAGGCTGCTTATTGATAAAACTAAAGGAAATAGGTCAACTAAATTCAGCTTCCAAATTAATTCCATATGTTTAACGTTCATGCGACATATAATACCTACGTATAATTCGATAAAATCTTATTTTTGGATGCCGAAGACACAATTTAAAAAATCAAAAGAACACACCTGCAATGTACCTACCGTTAATTTTAGACCAAAAATCTACAAACAGTATCACTTATTTTGAAAAAGTATTGAATTAATAAGTACCTATTTTTTAAGCTGAACAGGATATCAGGTTCGGATCATATCAGGTTTAGAATAATTATTCTAAGATATCAAGTTATTTGATACGTCACAAATAAACTGATCCTACGTCTTGTACTTAAAGTGGGCCTAATAATAGTTTACAAAGCTTTGTAAAACTCAAGATTTTTTTATTTGCCAGTTAAAACACAGTTCCTGCATTTCATCCACTGCAAAAAAACTATCCGCAGCTCCACAGAGTCTTTAACTTCGTTGTGACGCATGTGTAGAGATTATTTTTCAAAATCAGTAAACACTTCACTGAACGTTAAAACTCAACGGTTAAAATTAATACATTTAAAAGCTGACTTTATTGAAGAATGCGTGAAAAGAAACCATTCTTGGGAGTGGTTTCATTTTGGACAGTGTCCCTTGTTAATCTATGAGATTTAAAATATGCCTAAAACATGCAGAGAAATATTAAGTGCAAACCCTTACCAACCCTTACCAAGATTTCTCTTCAAATTTTATTTATTTACATTTTTTATTTTGGAAACTTGTAAGTTGTCGTCTATAATCCATAACAAATTACTGTTCCATATTACTATTTTCTGTATTCACGGCAAAACGAAACGTATTCTCTGCGAATAAGGAACTCATACTAAAAGTATTGTTGTATAATTATTCGACAAATTGAATATCGTTAACGTCTTAAAACAGTTAATCTGCTACCCTGTTAATGTAGGATTTGTTATTTTTCTATTGTCACATAGAAAGCTAACTTGTGATATGAATAAACCAATGAAATAAGTAAATGATTTTGTTTCATTTTATTTACCTCTTTCCTCGTTCATAAATCAAAACCTTCACTGGTAAATGACAATACACATGTACATGACAAGGCACTGTTACGAGCGTTTTTTCATAAACAGATATCGCTTTAAGATAACTACATAAGATCTAGATAGCTAGATGGTAGATCTAATAACTGATGTTTCAAAGCGTAAAAAAAGTGAGAGATTCGGGCAAGCGGAATATACTTGTTAAATGGAATCGTCGTTAAGGATTGTTTCTTATTTTTACTAAACTATCCTTATTCTTCATAAGAATACATACAACATGCGTTCTAAATTATCAACAGGGAATAATAGTCGAAAGGGAAGATCCAAGGGTTAACGACCTTTAAGAAAACGCCAGTAGCAGGTTTCATTATGTGGTACATTTATTACTATCATACAATAAAACGGTTAGAACACCTTAATCACCGAATAAATTCACTAAACCGTACTGCATTTATTAACACCACCACTAGCACTAGGATTGAATACGGTAATTTTCTTTTTTCGTTTCGAAGGAAGTGTCAGGGAAACACCACTGTTGTGAACGTAATGCTAGATGTGACCCGACGCGTCCGGCAGTCGTTGGTACAGGTGAGGGCGGGAGGAACAGCCAGGGCACACGTGCAACGTTGTGGTCACCACACTCTCGCACTCCCAACAATAGAACTCGTGACACCGGGTGCAGCGGTATATCTGAAAAATCACATACTAATTAAACAACAATTATTTGGGCCAATTGTGTTTGAATTAATTTAATAATATCTTCGGACATCTAATTCACAACGCCATCTTGTTACAAACTAAGCAGAACTTGTACTATGAAAGCTAGATTGACTGATAGAATACGCATATACTTTTTTTGTAAATACAAACATATTATATAGAAAATACCCAAACTCCGAAACAAATATTAGCAGATCACATTTGGTTCGACCCGGGCATAGAACCTAATATATCACTGTAGTCAATACAAATATGATAGGTATTGAGATCAGTCAATTGATAAGTTGGGTGTAAATGTACAATAAACGATAGACAAATCTAATTGTTTCATTACCTATTTATGTTTACTTAATTTTTTTCTATACTACTATAAAGTTTACATGGTCAAATGGTTTACGTTTTGTCAATAGGATTATCTTAACATTAAGTATTATGAATATATATCATACCTGTTTATCTAGATCTGTAAATGTCCTTAAACAAGCGAAACAATACTGTGCCTGGCCCTCGTTCGGTAACTCTTCGTAAGGGTCCACAGGAAATAAATGATGATAGGATCTGTATAAACCACAATAAAGAGTAATAGACTTATTTACGAACAATTTCAAAGGCAAAAAAAGCCTCAAAATTAAGAAATATTAAGAATATCAATACCTATGTGAACAGAATTACCAATACCGGCGCTATTATTTTTTACGAATAATTTTATTTATTAGGAATAACAAAATTAGATAATAGATGACGTAAGTATTCCGTCACATTAGCATATTAAGCATAAATATATACAAAAAACCGATTCGAGCGATTTCGTGCTCCAAAATTGGTAACAGAAAAATGAGTTTATAGATATATAAATAGGACAGAGAGAATGGTATTTTGTGATGAGAGTAGCAGTGAGGTGAAGTGCCTTCCCAATTAATATACGTACTGCCATACGGTCGTAAACAAAAGTTTATTTGTTTATTAATCTGTTTGGTCACTTGAGCAATCCATGTGAAAGCGGTAACAGACCTTAACACAAAAGGCTTTCGACAAGATCATTAGAGATTCGCTACCAGGCATGGGCATTATAGTGAAATTTGGAGCGACCATGCTACAAATTTTACCAACGCTGCTACTGAACTCCAAAAACTCTTTAATTATGAGCAGGGTTCTGCGGTATTTATGGAATTTCATTTAAATTTAAATGAGAAAGTAAGAAATGTCCGATACCTGGCGAGGTGCGGCGCGGAGGCGAGCGTGAGGCCGCACGTGCGGCACTGCGCGGGCAGCGAGCAGTACTTGCTGCGGCACTGCGGGCACAGGTGGCCCTCGCCGCCCACTCCTTCGCCCTCTTCTAAATGACTGCAACACACATACTACCTGTATCACTCTGGGAGTCGTAGAATTACGCGTTGGTAGGATTGATACAGCCCGACTTGTTTACTTCAGTTATTTTCATAGCATAATGTCGTACGGTATTCTGCTGTGGGGTAATGCTACCAACATTCAAAATATTTTTGTGCTATAAAAGAGAACGATTAACAAATCAAAGTTTAGGCAAACGTTCATTGAGACAAAAATTTAAATAAATAAACATAATGATGTTCATAAAAAGAAAGATAGCTTCTTGAAAGGAAGTGAAGTACGTGCTTTAAATACTAGAAATAGAAATAGACTTGTTGTACCTGCCTCTAGGCTCCAAAAGACAAACAAGTCATTTCAAGGTCAATGTGCCCGATTCTATAATAAAAATCCCAAATAGTATACAATATTTTGTACAAACAAATTTAAATCCACAATGAAACGTAAACTATGTCAGAAAGCCTATTGCTCAATTGTGGATTACATAGAAATTAATAATGCTTGGGATTAATTTAGAACAGGCTATTTCGTAGTGAAAATGGAATGTGGGCAAATGTTTTATTTAATTTTCAATTTTTTGATGTATTACTTCATTTTCTTTTTCTATATCTTGTTTTCTCTTCATTGCCTGTTTATCTTTTAGTTCTTAAAATTTACATACTAGCACACATCAACACAATGTTGTGTATATTTAATAATGCCATTGTTTTATGTTGATTAAAAAAAGTGGCTGTAAGTATGTTTACCCTTTCTTCTCATGAGGCTCAACCTCTTGGAAATGGGCGGTTGTAGATCGGCACAGGCATATAAGAAATTTTTGATACGTATATATTTAGTTTGCTAAATATTTGAGTAGGCTGCGAACAAGTCTATGCGAGCTTCCGAATTCAAATCTTGATCTCTAATTTACACCAAAACACAACTGACCGTCTTATTACATTGTGAAGTTGAAGTGAAAAGCGACTTCTTATTGCGATGTTTTGTTAGCAAACTACTGCAATAACCCAAAAACTTTTGGATGCAGGAAACATCTTATGGTTTATATTTTATTGTAACTAACGTAGTTTAAATGAGTAGTCATGCATAATACATCTATGAATTCGCATTTTATACTAACCACATGCATACAGAAATAGGTGGATCTGCATTTCCAGCCGGATCAGACGTGTCGGTTGGTGGAGCAGAGTGTGGGAAACCCATCTTGACCAGCCCCGCGTCCAGCGCTCGCGCTCTGGGCGGCGGACTTGTGGAGTCCAACAGCAACGTGCGATAGTGGACATCATCTAGTACGACCTAAGTGAAAAAAATTATGTGTATCATAAAAATATTTATATATATACATTATGGCGCTTTCAATTGGTAAAAGATATTACTATGATGGTATAAGAAATTCGTGTAGCAACATGAATTGATTATGATAGCTAAGTTTTAATGAAATTTTAATATTTAAGAAAAAAAAATGACGTCTTACACACAACGCCATCTAGTTTCAAACTAAGCAGGGCTTGTACTATGAAAGCTAGATTGACTGATAGAATACATATACACTTTTTTTTTTGGAAATACACACACACACACGCACGCACGCGCGCACACACACACACACACACACACACACACACACACACACATCAACAGCCCTTAACAGTCCACTGCTGGACATAGGCCTCTCCTTAGAAATATATATTATAAATATGTATTTACTTACGAAAAATAATAATAGGTATTCTGTGTATAGGTATAATATGTATTATACGTAGAAAATACCCAAACTCCGAAACATATAGAGAGGGAGGGAGATTTCAACTCAGCTAGCGCATACGCCACTACTGCACCACCGAGGCAGTCCGAGAAGTGTCAATTGTTTGCTTTTCAGCTTTATTTATTTTATTATAAATTACAATGTATTTATTTGTAAAGGCTATCGATTTTATAATGTTCTACTACCCCTCCAACAAAACTTAATACTTGGAGTGGGACTGTACTGAGTGGAGTTCAAACTTGCAAATACTACTCGTAGTTTAGAATTAAAAGTCTTAATCATTTTGCTATTAGATTTTTGTTTACTTCACAATAGGTAAGACTTTTTTGGAATAATTTTAAGTTCCAATTTTCAAAATGGTTCCCAATGTCTTTATCCATCATATTGGTCAGAATCCTCTAACAGTTTTTTTTTTTTTATATAGTTTCCCCTCACGGTTAAACCACCATGAGGGGGAGTTTATTAAATTATTATGGTACATTCTGCTATTTGCTACAGAAATATTTGAGTGCGTTATGTGTTATTAAATTCTTTAAGTGTGTTAACTATAAGGGTGAGGTGAGTCATAAAGGTATGGGTGGCGGTGTTGTTGGTGATCAGTAATGTTAAATTGTATGGGTCTAAATTAAAGTGGTGACAGAGTTGTTCATGGTTGAGTCTTGTGCGAGTGTATCGTGGGCATTCTGTCATGAGGTGTCTAAATGTCTGGGTAGTTGTGTTGTCGCAGGGGCAGGTGTTGTCGTCTGTAATATGAAATCTGTGTAGGTATTGCTTGTGGTAGCCGTGGTTGGTGAGTAATTGTGTGAGTGCAAATGTGGGTCCTGTTATGTCGATAAGTTTATATAGGTTCAGAGTGATGGGCACCAAGTTTTAATAATGGTTCCTTTGACATTATCAGCATATCTGTTACAAGCTACGTCATGGCCATCAGTTTTGGCCTTTTTTGTGACGTAGCTTATCGGGAAGTGCGTGAAAATGGGTGAGTAGGATTCGGAGGCCGCAGATTTAGCGGCTATGTCAGCAGCCTCATTACCGTGTATGAGCTTTAACCCATACTAAGTTAATTTCTGTGTGTGTGGTATTCAAAAACTTTTGTATGTTAGTGGTAACTTGATGTGTGCTATAAGTGTTGCTAATGTCTTCCAGAGCTGACCTGGAGTCCGACATGATGAAAGCTATATCAACCTGTTGCTTGTGTAATTGTGGTGGCCTGGTGGCCATCGACCAAACCTGTCAGTGGTTACTCACTGACAGGTTTGGTCGATGGCCACCAGTTCAGCTTGAAAGACAGTACACGATTAATGTAGCTTGTATGTTTTGGTGATAAGAGTGTTTTGTGGAGTATGTACCACAACGGCAGCTCCCACTAAGTCGTCGTGCTTACTGTCGTCAGTGTGCATGTTGTTGATTGATTAAGATGTCGTCTAATTCAGTTTGTGTACTGATAATGTCAAAGGAGTGTGGTGGTCTGTGTGCCGGGTGAAGTAAATGGGATGATTGAGTGGGTGTATCAAGTGTGACATCGAGTAGGAGGCAATCGGTGAGCCCTGTAAGAATTACAGTTGATTCGATTCGTGCTCTTTCTTTGACTTTAAGGTCAAGTGGTGTGTGTAGATATTGCTATTGCGTTAATGGTGTTAATAGTGCGGAATCCTCTAATTATTTTGAGAGCAAACCCTCTTTGTAGTGATAATAGTTTATTACAGTTGGTTTTGAAATTTAGAGCAGTGTGCCATACGCTGGAAGCGTAGCATATTATGGGTTCGATTACCACCCTATAGAGTGTGAGTATGTTTTGAGAGTGTACTCCCCAGGGGGGTCTGATGAATTTAGTGAGTGTGTTATGTGGAATACGTGCTTTGTTAGTGATATAGTTTACATGTTGCGTGAAGTGTAAGTTGTCGTCGATGATCACCCCCAAAACTCTAGCAGTCCGGCTGAATGGGATGTGCGTATTGTTCATGGTTAAGTGAAGAAGTTTAGTTTTGTTAATGAAGGCTAAAGCGATGGTTTTGTCAGGTCCAAAGGTAAGTTTATTAGTGTTGCCCCATTCTAGAATGGTCTGTAAACTTTGATTGATATTGTTTTGGAGAGTGATGAGCTTTTTGTGTGCGGCTATTAGAGTGATGTCATCTGCAAAGGCCTGCAGCTGGCACCCCTCCGGAAGTCTGCTCCCAGACGAGTCACTGGACATGTCCAGTAGTTCGTCCAAAATCAGATTAAAGAAGGTCGGCCCACATACAGACCTCTAGATGCATCCCCTACTTAGTTGTTTAGTGGCGGTGGCGTCAGAATATAATAGGGTAGCCGTACGATCTGATAAGTAATTTTGGATGATGGTGTACATGTTTTTAGGGCATTTGGTGTGGTGTAATCGTGCGAGTATGGCGGGCCACCAAGCATAATCGAATGCAGCTTTAATATCGAGGGAGATCATCGCGACATGTAATCCCTTCTTTTTGTGTGTTTTGATAGTATTGACTATGTTGGTGAGTACGTGTACTGTAGAGGTTTGTTGCTTGAATCCATATTGTCTTGTGTTATGCGTATGTGTAATATTTAGGTGATGTGTGAGGCGTTGAGTGATTAATTTTTCAAGTGTTTTACCCAGTATAGGTATATATATAGTATATATAGTCCTATAGGGCGATATGAGGATGAGGAAGTGTAATTGGATTTATTGGGTTTCGGAATTATTTTAATTATTGCATGTTTCCATGTTTTGGGGAAAACAGAGATTGATAGGCAGCGGTTCATGAGCCCAGTGATGATTTCAGGGAAACATAGAGCAAACTGATAACAAATGTCAGAGGTAAGGTGGTCTACACCCGGGGATTTGGAGGGATTCCTGTTTTTCAAGATAGTAGTTATTTCATGTTGTGTGAATGGAGCATCGTCTTCATTGTCGGGTGGATTGTGCGTTTGAGTACGAGTGGAGTTCTGTGTGGGAGTGTCAGGTGTGTCATCAGGGTAAAACTTATTAAGGAAAGCTGTTGCAGTTTGGTGACTCGATGTATGTATGCCGGGTGACAGTTCAATGGTTGCCGGTTTCCTCTGAGGAGGCGCCCTCTTCATAATTCGGTTGGTAACCGACCACACATTTTCTTTACCTTGTCTATTGCAGAATTCCCGAGTGTTCAGTCGAAGCAACTTTGATTGCTTGAGCGTATGCTACTTTGAGGGTGTCCCTTTCAGCGAGAGCATCGGTGAGTGGTTGGTTCTTATGTTTGAGCTGTTGCAATTTATGGCGTTTTGCTATCACCTGTTGTTTCATGATGTCTAGTTGGTCGGTCCACCAGGGTGACCGTGGCGAGCCTCGACCTGTGCGTGGCAGATGTAGGTTGCAGGTGTTCTGTATGAATTTTGTAAGTTTTTTAGTGTACATGTCTATGTCCTGTTGTGTGTTTAGAGTATTGAAGTCGGTAGAATGTAGGTCCGTATGTAGTATTTGTTCTTTAAAATGCTCCTTTAGTTCATCCCAATTTCTATAGAATTTAGTGTTGTATCTAAATGTGCTTGTTTTGGGGTTAGGTTTGAAATGTTGTGAGAAGTGTAATGTGAAAGTTATGGCGTGGTGGTCGGATGAGGGGCAGATGGAATGTTCGATCCTCCAACCGTCAACGTAACAGGCAATATTGTCACTGACGAGGGTAAGGTCAACAATTGAGCCCCTAATTCGGCCGAGGGCCACGCTCTCGTATGTATGTGAGGTTCCCGTATTGAGGACGACGATATTATTCGTGTGTAGAAGGTCTACTATTTCCTCTCCTCTTTGATTGTTGGAGGTTGACCCCCACATACGGTGCCACCCGTTGAAGTCGCCGGCAATGATGTGTGCGGCGTCACGAGTATCGTTAAGTAATGCTTGTAGTTTATTCCGTGTGCTGTTTGTATCAATGTTGGGTTCCATGTATATACATGTTAGAATTAATCTTTTGCCTTGTTTGGTTGTCAACTGTACAGAGCATAGGTTGGGTGTAGAATATTGTGAGTGGCCTAGTGCGGTTCCTATATTGTTTTTGGTTAGAATACAAGCCTTGGTGTGTGTGTTATTTGGATATTGGTGTGTGATATATCCTGCTGTATTTTTCATGGTAGGTTGGCTCTCGACGTATGGCTCATTTGTAAAGATTAAGTCGGTGTTGTTTTGTAGAGTATGGTTTATTAATTCATGCGTAGCAGCGTATCCGCGCCCCAGGTTAGCTTGCGTGAGTGTGAGTGTCGGTGATGGGTTTTTCTGCCTTTGAGGTCTATTCTGAGTGGTGTGACGGGTATTAATATGGGTTGGTGTGTGAGTGTTAGGGTGTCCATGTGTGTAAGTAGTGTGTGTTATTGTTATTATTGTGATGAATGTTATACATAAGAGCGTATTAACTTATTGTATTTTGTACACAGTTATACATAACAAATAAAAGAAACTTATTAATTAGTTTAGTCGAAACAATTACGCGATAATATCAAATAGTTAATTTATGAACCTGCGACACAAAGAATTATTGCTATCCGTTAAGGGAGCTCACACACTGAATGGTAATTGGCGGAAGTCTATTGATCCTGATGGCTGTTGTGCTGTTGGTGGTGGTATACCTGTTCCGTAGTCAATAGTCTCTTCAATTTTTTCCTTGGTGAGGCGTATTCTAGGACAGGCAGCTTGGTTGTTGGCGGCATGATTAGTGGGTAATTTAGTTCCTGTTTTGCTGTTATATTTTGTGCAGTTGTAGCAAACGAACTGTTTGTTTGTCTTGTGGGGGCACTCAGCTGCTTGGTGGTTCTCGTCGGCGCAGACGGCGCAGGGGTGGATAGTCGCTGTGCACTTATTGTGTGAGTGTCCGAACTGGAGGCACTTTCTGCACTGCGTGAATCTCGAAAAGGGTTCTATGTGAACCTGTTGGAAGTTAACTGCTACTATGTTTTGTTGGATTAATTTATGATATGCTGTTGGGGTTAATTCAACAACTGCGTTGTAAAGTTTTTCAGATCTATTGCTGGTAAGAAAACAGAGGCGGATATCAGGGATGAGAATGGAGTTTTGTTGGCAGATTATTTTGATTAGTTCTTCTTTGTTGGTTTCTTTGTATATGCCCTTGAGGATGGCAAGTGGCGGACGACGTCTGGCTTCTTCTGCCTTCAGATTACTTGTTTGGTTGATGAGTTGCTGAGTTTCCTTTTGTTGTTGAGTAGTGTTAAATTCCAGGTATACCCTTCATCTGGTTATAGGTTGGATCTTGGATGGAGCGTAGGTTTTGTCTTTAAATGTAATCTGGGTCTTTAGTTCCTCAATAGTACTTTGATTGTTGGTTGTGGATGGGGATGAGGATGCAGATGTTCGTGTGGCTGCGTTAATTATGAGTGCTGGTTTCTTTGTGAACTGGGCTCTTGTGACACTGGCGTAGCTGGCGCCGGTGGTAGTAGTAGGTTGAGCGGGAGATTGTTGTTTGTTAGAATGTTTTAGAGTAGTTATAATTGTGGTGTGTATTTCATGTATTAGTTCCTTTTTGAGTTGGTCTATGGCTTCTTCAGGAAACACAGTTGGTTGACAAGAATGGGCGGTAACAGTAGCGGAAGGAGTGGTTTGACAGGTGGTGATGATATCGTCAGCGGCTTCCTTTATAATTCTTTTATTGGCAGCTGATACAGTCTTTCCTTCGCTTATCGTCAAGATAATGTTGCGAGCCAGTTGTATAATCTTATCCCCCAATGTATTACCAGGAATCAATAGAATGTAAGAAAAAATGTGCAAAATGTTTTTAAGATGACAACGTTATTTATTACTTTAGGTAATATTAAGGATATTCACAATTCTTCTTGATATAATTACTGCAAGCACAACACCTGTTATGCTTTGCGCCCCCTATTATCGTATTTATGATACTGTTGACAATCTTTATCGCAGTCTGTTGTCGAATCTTTCCAGGTTGTCAAATAGACGAAGTAGTTCTCGTATGTTCTCAAAGATGGCAGAACTCTATTTTTGTAGTGCCAACTCATATAGTGGCCTCTAGCGAGGTTATATTGCACTTCTTGCCCAAATAATGATTAGCTACTCGATCCGTGCTTTTTAGTCTGTGGCATTGTGGCTTAGATTTGGCACTTAATTTGAATTTTTTTTAAAGAATTTTTTCTAACCGTTGCTTTGCTGTTTTATATACTAATGCACTTTTTTATGTAAACACTTATAACTTCTAGGTTCGTATAAAAGTTAGTAACTATTGAGAAAGTTCACTATTGTAAAATAACACTTTGTTTTAGGACAGTTTATGATCGTTACCATTAGATGTTATTTTTGTTTTTAATATTTTGGTCACTAAATGTTTTCACAACACTGAGATAACGTTAGTTGATGTTTATCGGCAATTAAAGTTTTCATATATCACTATGTCGTTCTCGTTACATTAAATTAACTATTTTTTAGCAAATTATAATCAAGGAGCACTTGTTTACATGGCATGTGGCGCCATCCCGATCCCCTCTAACATAGTGCGAAAAAGTTATAGGGTTATAAGGTAAGGTTATATATTTTCCTATATTGTTTTGCTGTACAGTAAATTTGAGTAATTTTAATAAATATGATGAACTGCATTCCTAGTCATATTTTCATGATATTAATATAATGAAGCTATACTTCAAACACTTACACCATATTCACCACCTGTGTCTTGACATAACTTTTTGCATATTCTAACTTCGGCAGCTAAACCGATCACTGAACATCTAATACCTTCCGTTTTCAATAACTGAAATCCAAGTAAATTAAAATTTTTAACATGTAGATTTTGTACTTTAATGAAGAACCTAGTAGTGCTGGGTTAATTTTAATAATTTTATATTCTTATACACCGTTTGATTAACAGCGAAAACAATCTCACTTTTAGAACACGCAACATACTGAGCTCCTTCACTCCCAATTGTACTTATTTTATCCTCCAATAATCTTCCTTCAAGCTTTTTCCAAACTAGGTTGAGGTCGGACTGCCATATGGCTGAATTTAGATTTTTTGTGAGGATCGACTGTCATCAGACTTCCACAACCCCAAGAACTAGGCAATTTATAGTTCTATTAAAAGACAATACAACTAAGTGTAACAATTGCCACAGATGTTCGTATAGCAACTGAGACCGACAGCATAACATGCTCTCTAAGGCAAGGATGTGTCTGTGTCTCAATGTCAATTACCTTAACTTTGCAATGTGTTTACCCACTCGGTTACCACTTAGCTCTTTATCGTCCGATAATATTCCCTTTTATTCTGATTTGGATAAAAATATTGAAAGTTAACATTAATGAGTAATATGAACAACAAATATATTATTCTTTTAAGTTTTTACCTGTATTGTTGTATTGATATCTCCAGGATCACACGTTGTCAGCGATGCAAACAAAACTAAGAGCTCTCTTGAGGCATGAGCTGGGAGAGGCTTAAGTATGCGACCAGCCAACTCTAGAGTATTTTGTAGGGAGGGCTCCCCGCTAAGGGACATTTCCGATAACCTGTAAAGACACTGCCTGTTATGGGATAGATTTTTGGTCATATCCTAGTTTAGGGTATGGTAGAGCTTTGAGGTTTGACACAGTTTGAACATTTAACATTAAGTGGACACTACTATAGCTGTATGATTTTATTCTGTAGGTGTAGAATTCAGTAGCACTCAAATATGTGCCTCTTTTGGATTGAGTTCTAAATTATGTTTACATGACAATAGATGTAAAAACAGCCATATTTCATGTATTTTAATGCTTGTAATCCCAGTAATCCGCAAAAAGCGAGACTAAACTAGTTCCGAGTGGGACATTTAATTTCAAAACGAGACATATGGCTATGTTACTGCATATGCTCAGTGTTAAGACTAATTTCCCATTAAACCCATCTATCTGATCTAATACAAACTACTCTGAAGTTGTTTGACCTATTTTGTCATAGACTTGTAGATCATAACATTGTCATGACCATAATTAAGAGTAGAATCAGTTTTTTTTATTTGACTTTCTTTTGAAGTACATTGTTTTGAAAATATGAAACTGTGGATAAATCTTACCCTTGTAAAGCTTTTATGTGTTTTCTTATGTTGCCAGAAAGTTCTGTAAGTTTTTCTGCCCTTTTGTTTTTCATAAGAATTAATCCCAGCTGACTCAGGGGATTTTGATCAAAGTATTCTTCAACAAACTTTTCCAGCAACTATAAAGTATTAAATTTAATTAGATATTACAATTTGAGTTCTAGGTTTTAAATCAATTAAGGTATTGTGTTTACCTTTAGTGTGCATAAAAACCTAGAAGGTTTGAGATCTTGTGAATTCATTGCATCAGAGCAGTCAACTGCCACAAGTAAGTGTCTCATCATTCCCAATCTAACGGGACCACGTCGAGGTACCGCAGCTTTCTTGGCCGCTTTCTGGGCGAACTCAGCCACAAGACCCGCCACTAAACCATCCTTATCCTCTTTAATAGCCTCCCTGGTATTAAATTAATAAAATCAACAACTTGAAATTTATAAGTGAAAAATAAACTTATATAATATTATAAAGATTTGGAAAACCATACCAAGTCTTTTCGTAGCCAGTCTCCCACCGGTATTCTTTTGTATCTTGATCATCATCAGCCATTGTAATTGATTAACTTGGCTTTTGGAGTTAATAGACAGCTGTTTACTAACAAAAATTGTTACACAAAGGTGTGTTTCATGAGTTTATTATTGACTCTATGGAGTATAAATTGTTTAAATCACTGTGTAATTACTTTAAATAAATATTGTAAACATTACAGTAGACAGTAAGTACACCACCCATGCTACTTCAACTTCAACTTTTGGTTAATGGCTTTGTGGTAGAGTGTAACCACAATTTCGCTAATGTCATGTATTTGAAAGACTAACTGTCAAAGGATTTTATACAGAGCTGTGGTAGAGCCAAAAAATAATAATTCGAGAATGAAAGAATAAGAATGAATAAATTGTTATCTTTTACAGGCATGATAAAACTTAAACTAGTAAAATATATAGACAGCTAATAATATATATATACATATACAAAATAAGAAATAACCAGTAAAACAAAAACAAATTTTACACTGTGATATTGAAACTATAATTTAATTTTGTTTAAAGTTATACACTTACCTAGAATGTATACAAAAGGAGTAAAAACGCGAGATAAGAGTAATTTAAGGGACATGGGATGAGGAATATGAGGAGGAATGAATTCATAAATAGGAAACTTAGTTCTAGGACAATTAAAAATATGTGGTTCGCGTTACCCTCATCAAGCCCACACTCACAAATAGAGCTATCCCTAATTCTGAGTTTTGCCAAAAATACTGGAGTGCATGAGTGATTTAGTCTTAACCGACAAATTATAGAAGTGGTGTTTTTATTTATTTTTTTAAATTTAGTAAACCAGGGCTTAAGTTGAATTTCTGGTTGTATATCGCCGTAAAATTGGCCTCTCACAGTTTTCGACACGCGCCACAGCCTGGACCACGAATCAAACAGCTGTGATTTAAGAGATGAACAAATATCGTTAGAGTATATTTCTGTATGGTCATGAGAGCCTGTATAAGCAGCATTTTTTGCACATGAATCTGCAGTCTCATTTCCTGGAATTCCTGCGTGTCCAGGAATCCAGGCTAAGACAATGTTTATGTTCAGTTTTTGACATTGAAATAAAAGATGTCTAATTTTAAGGACAATAGGACTATTGGAATTTGATCGGAATGGGTTTGATAGAATAGATTGAAGACAGCTTTTGGAATCCGAAAAAAATATACTATTGTTTAAATTATGGGATTTTATAAAAGGAAATAGCTTCTAAGACTGCTATAGCCTCACCAGTGAAGACAGAAGAAGCAGCGGGACATTTATAATTTAGAATTATGCTAGTAGAAGGAATCCAGACAGCAGCACCAACTGGACCATTTGATGAGATTTTGGAAGCGTCTGTTAAAATTAGACGCCAATTATTATAATTGGAGGTAATTTTTTTAGTGAATAGACTTCGCATTAGTGAAGTCCAGAATGATATTTGGTTGAAATACTAACGCTTCATATGGCGTACAAAAAAGAGATAACGTGCAGTTTTGGCACAAAGGATTGATGAGACGGGTGAATTGCTGGTAAGCAAGAAGAAGGCAGGGGATAATTTTATTAGAACGTGGATCGAGATTATTCAATAAGATAGATAGCTGATCTAGTTTAGGAAGGAGCAGACGTCCAGCATTTTGGATGTTTGAAAAAGAATCTGTTGGCATGAAATTGTCTACGAAGAAAAAGAGGAGGGTCACCACATTCAACCTGCATAGCGTTAATAGGGGAGGATTTCATCGCTCCGAGAATAATGCGAAGACATTTAGACTGAATTTTGTCGAGTTTTTGGAGACCAGATTTATTTATGGGATCTAAAACAAATAAGCCGTAATCCAAGTGACTGCGGACTATAGCGTTGTATAGAAGTTTTTGGGAAAAAGGGTGAGAACCCCACCAAACTCCAGAAAGGGAACGAAGAACATTAATGTTTTTTTCACATTTCTTTACAACATAATCAGTATGAAACACACCTGTCAATCTGGAATCCAACCAGACCCCAAGGAATTAAACTCTATCATACTGCGGAATGACTTCACCAAGGACTGAAATGTTAACTCCGGAAATCATTCGCTTTTTGGTAAAAATTACGACCGAACTCTTTGAGGCCGATAAAGAAAGTCCATGGCGATATAACCACGCCGATAATAAACTGAGCGCACTTGACAAATTAACAATAATACAAAACTTGATCGTCAGCGTATTGGAGAATTTGAGCATATGGACCTAACGACAACTCTAAGTCATATGTATAAAGGTTGTACAAAAGAGGTCTTAGCACCGAGCCTTGAGATAAGCCCTTCCATATCATCCTGGGTGATAGCGAGTAGTCCCCACTTTTAATTGTGATGGATCTTTCCGAAAATAAGCTACAAATAAAACAAACTAGTTTTTCGGAAATCCCAAGTTGGTAAATCAGTTTATTTTTGAGGATGGGAATCAGGACGTTGTCATACGCTGACGTTATATCAAGAAAAACTCCACCTAAGTATTCCTTTTTAAGAAAAGAGATTTGAATATCAGTCGTTAATAAGTTGAGACTATCCATTGTGCTTCTACCCTTTATAAACCCATATTAGGATTTCCCTAACAATTTCCTGTTTTCTACAAACCATTCAAGGCGATGTTTTATCATATCGCTCATTTGCAACAAAGTCGACATTTCTCAAAAGATATCATTTTACAGTAGAGGAATTTTAAAGTTTCTAGTTAAATATATACGATAAGCGTTGGCTTTTTAGAAAACTTATTTAGACAAAAATATTGTGCGATTAGTGTACTTTTCTGTTAAAATATTAAACTTTGCTTAAAAAGTACACATGATATACTGTGCTATTTTTTTCGCAGCAAGGAAACACTTATGTCATTGTTGCAGATAAGTATAGAAAAAAAAAATGTAGTATTATGACTTATGACGTTACACTCAATAATTATTTTACATTTAAGGTAAACTTGATAGTAATAATAACAAAATATGTCAATTTTGAAAATATTTTTATTAATATCGGAATCCAAAGTAAACTACAATATAGTTACATTAATAACTTTTTCATAATAAAATGAATAGTAGGTAGGTAATTAACACTTAATCGTTATCGAATTAAAATGGCACAACATCAGTCTTATAAATCAACTCTCCTACATTATTTAGTCATCCATACAGAACAGTATCACAAAATCAGCCTCAATAATAAAATTACAGTGTTTAACGAAAATTGAACATAAAATTCAAAATAAAATTTAAAAAAAATCTGCAAAGAATTTTAAATCGAGCATAGAACTGTGGAATTCGATTTCTCTTTAACAAGTCTAACAAATCTTTCTTTCTGTCCGATGTGCCTGGCTTACGATCATAAGCTTTTTTGACGTTTATGTCAATCCTTTTCTTGTTTCTGATAATTTCTGCTCTTTTAAATTCTTCTTCTTTGTAAAAGTTCTTGTAAAATAATAGGAGTTCTCAAAGACATCATCTATTGTTTTTTATTATGTTCTAATGACCAATAGTCGTTAAAAAATGTCTTCCTTTCATCTTTAGATAGTTTAGATTGACATTTTAACCGTCATTTATCTCCACATGGTTCTCTTCTTTTATTTTCTTGCTAGCAGTTTCATAAGCTTGTCCAGTATTCCGCATTTTCTTTACATTTCTGTGCCAATTTGCTTCATTCCTTTTACGTTTTCTTCCTAGTTTTGCCTTCGGACTTGCAGGAAACGACATTATGATACTATTTTCTGTTGAAGTTGGACATGACAATGGAATCATATGAAAATTATTATTAGCAATGGAATTGTCATTTGCCTGTTCAGCTGGCAATTCATGACTGCGCTGCAGAAGAGAGGGTCCGGAAATAGTTATGATTTTATCTGCCGTTGAAGTAGATGGTAATGGATTTGAATAGTCAATTGTCTCGATTAACTCAGCCCTATTCTGCTAAAGAAGTTCCTCAGGTTTTAATTAGTCATTTATCATAATAATATATTTTCATTGCAATCATTTGTTTAGGTCGACGAAAATGAAGATAAAGATTCAGATAAGGAACTGTACGATGTCACTGATGATGAAAGCTCTGATGAGGATAGATCCTGGGTAAATAAAAAATAAAATAAAAAAAGCCTTTTATTTCCTACTATTTACCTACTTTACATTGTTTGTTACTTATCTAATTTGATTACATAATTAACTTCACTTAGCTAGTTTTTCTTTGATTGATTTTGCTTAAATTAATAGTTTATATATACATAATACTAATACTTTGCCACATAGGATGTATACCGGGTAAATATGGAGTGGGCTTCATTATAAATAAGTCCCTTATAAACAACATCGAGAGCTTTATTGGATTAACAGATTGCGTGGCAACGCCAAACTTAAGCTTTTAAGGGTGCATGATATCCATTATACAAGAATATGCACCGACCGACGCAGCGAGCGAGGAAGAAATAGAAGAATTCTATATGACCATAGATAAAGCGATGAAAATAACATATAAAAACATTATATTAATGGGCGACTTTAATGCGAAGGTTGGTGGTCCCAGAGAAGGTGAGTACTTAACAGTGCAACAGCATGGATACGGCGAAAGAAACGACAGAGGGCAAATACTTGTTGACTACGCACTCGAACATAATCTAACCATCATCAACACATGCTTCAAGAAAAACCACAACCGAAGTTGGACCTGGCGATCCCCAAATGGAAAACATAAAAATGAGATTGACTATATTCTATCCAACCAACAAAAAATATTCCTAAACTTTGAAGTCATGAATTTAAACTATCCATCAGACCATAGACTAATCAGAGCATCAGTGAAAATTACTAAACAGAAACAAGGCAGAGTTAAATTTACAAATAAAAAAGGATGCCAACTAAAGCGTGGCAATTTGGTATAAGCATATGACGCGCAAAGATGAAACGAATGGCAGGCGCATTTAAGTATAAAAATGTTGGGAATTTTATTTTGCAGCAAGGTAACTACAGAATTATTACGTCCCATCATTACGTTTGCCCCATCAGATGCAAAACCT